TGGGGGGCAATATGCTGACTCTGTAAACCGCTTAGAGAGGGCTGAAAGCCCTATGAAGCGGTATATAAGTCTAACTGCTATTGCTATCTTGTAAACTGTTGGAGGTGTCACTCTGGCTCGGAATTCAAGACCTTGTAGAGAATTTGGTCTTGTTTGACCTCTGGACTTCCTCTTGCAGGGAGGAATCTTGTCCTTCTGCATGGGGAGAAGCTGCTTTAGCCAACTTAATTCATCCTCCTGTCTTCACAGACTTTGCTACTCAAAATTATAACCAAAGCCTTTTGGTTTTCTGCAAGTACCGAACGTGTCCCCTTATCTTGGTTTAAAAATTATTGCATCAGAAAGTTTCATGTTTTGTGAAAAGGAGCTACTTACTCTATAATACGTGAAAAGATATCCGGTTGATAAAAATTGAGCAGAGAAATACTTATGGTTATGGCGATAAAGCATTTGTCTTCAGAGAAATCTAGCTTCCCTTCATGTGCCCCATTGCAATCACAGTTTCTTGTTTGTGCCTCCCATATATTCAGACCTGAAAAATTTACAATTCATGCCCAACTGCGTTCCCCTCTCTGTAGTTTACCCCTCCTTGGAATCAGATGAGGATGACCCAGCCTTGAAGTCACTGCCAAAGAAGAAAAAATGCACGGATGATGCTCCGTGGAGTCCTAAAGGTAACCATCCATCACCTGTAACAGATGGTGTGCATTTAATATGAGTCTATTCAAAGGGATACCCAAACACAATTCCCTGGGAATAGTTCTTCTAAAAAGCAAATTTCTAATCCTTTTCCACACGAAAATATACCTGAAAGTGTTTGAGATGAAAAATGTAATGAGGATTCTAATGCAAGGAGAATTGCTGAAGACTTTCATACTATACTTGAGGATGGGATTTCATTGTGCAAGTGCTGATCATTGACTATCCCAGGCGCCAATAATTTACAGAGTGAACTAGGTCGTAATTCTTGGAAACATACAAAGCACAATGGTATGGACATAGAAGGCAAGTGAGATCCATGTAGAAGAATAGCATCATGGCTTCAAAATCTTAAGAGGCTGGTTTGGACAAAACTCAACAGCACTTTTTCGTGTAGCTGTTGGTAAAAATAGGATCACCCACATGATCGCCAACATCCAATGACGGATATGGCCCAAGAAGAAGAATGGTCATAGAACTTACTTTTTGTTTCTGTGATGTATGGAAAGACTATTGGTTGGAGCAGTGAGTTTTCTCTGCTTAAACCAAAAACTGGATTGAGCATAGACAACCTGAATTGCAGCTTTGCCTTATGACAGTTTGTAGAAATGCCTGGGAGCCACAATTCTGAATGTGGAGATCTTTCTGGTTCGCTTGATACCTGGAATGGGAGTTGGAGGGGTGGGCTTTCATTGTAATAGTAAAAATTTGAGACAAATCTTCTTGAGTATATTGAAAAGGGATTTTTAAAAGCATTTCATTTAAACAACATCAACACTGAACTCTGCAACCTAGCTTTGCTAATTATGATACACCTGCCCTCACTTGGCTCCATAGTATACCCGGCTTAGCTCAATTTACAAATGTAGATTGTTTTTCTTTTTTCCTTTGGGTTTTGCCTGTGATAAGTAAACCTTGCAGAGTGAGCACTGCATCCGTGAGGGCTCTGAGGCCTTAATTACAGATTTGTGGCCCAGATTTTGTGGCTTTCCAGTAAACGAAGCTTCCATTATCTTATTCTTGAGTTTATGGGTTTGCAGGGCAAAAGGATATGTTTTATATGTACCAAGTGGGAGCAAGTAGAGCAGCCTCTCGTAATCTTGGGGTGCTTCAGATCTTGGGAACTGCAGCTCCCAGAATTCCTCAGCCCAAACGGCAACCTGGGCGTTACCTTTCCACATAAGTTGAAACCATCAAGGTTGGGGGAAGGCGGAATGGGAAAATTCTTCATGTGAACTTTCCCTCTTCACAGCCCGGGTGACCCCAACTCTACCCAAGCAAGACCGCCCAGTCCGTGAAGGAACCAGAGTGGCATCTGTCGAGACCGGGCTGGCAGCTGCAGCAGCTAAACTAGCTCAGCAGGTAAATGGCTAGGTTGGTTTATTGATAGAAGGAGCAGGCTGTGAGGAACAGACTCTTCCTCGGGAGGGTGGCCTTCTTCTTCAGTGGAACATCGGCTTCATCAGTGGGGAAAGCTTGGGGTGTCTCAGGAAGATAGAATTGTTGTTCAGTAGAAAGCATACTCATTGTTAAGGTTAGTGTGCTGCCTTCTATATATTTGCTTTTCAGTTCAGTTCAGTTTATTGTATTTGTATGCCGCCCTTTTCCCCCGATGGGGGACTCAGGGCGGCTCACAACTCGAACCGGGGAAGGGGGATACAGATAAAAATTTAAAAACAAACATAACAATAAGTCACCTCACTGAGTGCGCTGA